TTGCAGTCGTGGAATTTGTACAAGTACGGTGTCATCTGAATATTTTACAGTATTTGTACTCAGTGGATGAAGATCGTTAACAGGGCTTAAATTGCACCGGAGCCCACCGGAGTAAGGCTCCGGTACTTCTCAGTTTTGGGGATAAATTATAATTCTAGCAGGAGTACACCACACACCAGGAGAGCCCTAAAATAAGAAGGCGCCGGGATTTCTTTTATGGAACTGAACAACAATTTCAGTTGAAATTTGATCTCGAAACTATTTTTTTTAGCAATAAAATTTTATTTAACTAAATTTTAATTTATTTCTTTAGGTTTTTATTAAGTTTTAATTACTTTAATCATTAATTATTTAATTATTTTAATGATTAAGTATTTATTTTTTTAATTATTAATGACTTATTAGCCATTTTATTTATTTATTTATTTTTGTTCCTTTTTCCTGACGGTCTACCGTATGGCCCCGACACTTCTAATTTTAGAAATTAAACCCTGATCATTGATGAAGATATTAAAAATCTTTTGTCCTAAATTCGTACCTTGAGGAACGCCACAGTACATTGTCTTTTTTGCAGCGAGTGTGTCGCCGCACCTGACTTCGAAGGAGCGTCTTTTTAAATAGGAAATTATAAGCAGAATGAGAGTACTTGGTAGAAGAAAATTAGAATGTTTATGGATGAGATCGTTACACCAAACACTGTCGAATGCCTTTTCAAAGTCCAAGAAACAAACAACTACAACAGATTAGTGAATATAAGAATATAAGTATAGAAGTTCTGCGGATGAGCAACCTAAATCTTCCTTGACGGCAGATCTTATGCCTGAAAGAACGAAAGCTTCCATCCATGATTTTGATTCGAGTACATGACATTTGAAGTTTGCTTTTAAAGTTCGGTGTTGTCTTTCGATCAGGCCATTTGCCTTTGGATGGAACGCAGTTCTAGTGTTTGTATGAAAACCAAGATATTTTCCTTAAAAAAAAAAAGTTGGCTATCAAATTTCCGACCTTGGTCAGATGTTATGCGATTCGGAATTCCAAAGCTTGAAAACCAAGTATGAATCAAAGCTTTAGCAATAGATTCTGCTGATTGATCTTTTAACTGCTTCGATACATCGTGTATAACGATTGATTATGGTTAGAAGATATTTGAATCCTTTGCAAGGAGGTAGCGGACCAACCAGATCTATGTTTAAATGCTGAAATCTGTGTGGAGGTACTTTGAATTCTTCCAAGGATGACTGTGTATGTCTGTGAATTTTAAACCTTTGGCAAGATAAACATGCTCTAGTCCATAGTTGGCAGTCTTTATTCATATTGGGCCATATGAAACGTTGTGTTATCAATTTTATCGTGGATCTTATTCCAGGATGCAATAAATTATGAATTGACGAAAATATTTTCTGCCGAAACTTTTTATGATCTATTATAATTTGTAGAAGTATCACAGTAAATTTTCTTGTCGCTGTCTGGCATAGGGATCTGTAGGATTTTTAAGTTTGGGTTGCTTTTCAGTGTCTTCAAATCTTCATCTTCTTGAGAATCTACTATAGTCTGTAAGTCTATTGTAGATGATACAGAAATGGTGTGTATGCGAGAGACAACGTCAGCGACGGTATTTTCATCCCCTTGTATGAATTCGATATCGGTTGAGAACTGACAAATATATGACAGTTGCCTAGCTTGCTGTGGCGAAGCATTTCCAAATTTTGTTGGAAGGCAAAGGTTAGTGGTTTGTGATCCGTGTATGTTGCAATAGGTCGTCCTTCCAAGATGTATTTGAAATGTTTCACTGCTGTATAGATGGCTAAGAGTTCTCTGTCATAGGCACTGTATTTATGTTGTGCTAGTGTAAATTTCGGGAAAAGAAACTTAAGGGTTGTTTTTCATTGTTCACAATCTGATGTAAAACGGCTCCAATGGCAGTACCGGAAGCATCAGTTGCTAGCGATATTTCAGCCTTTTCGGATAGGTGAGTTAAGTTTGTGCAATGAATAAGTGCATCTTTAAAAACCTGGAAGACGTTTCTTGTGTCTTCCGTCCAGGTTATTTCTTTTATGCAGTTCTTTTTGATACCACTGAGTAATGTTGTTAAAGGTTGTTGGAGTTTCGCACAATTTGCTATGAATCTGTAATAAAAATTCACCATACCTAAAAAATCCTCTTAAACTAGTAAATGAATTAGGTTCTGGGAAATTTTTGATGACATCAACTTTCGTTGAAAGAGATTTAAGTCCTTCAGCAGACACTTCGTATCCCAGGAATGCAGTTTTTTTTTTTTTTTTGATCGAATTTACACTTTGCCGCATTAATACACAGGCCATATTCATTTAGTCTCTCGAGGACTGCTTGTATATGCTGTCGATGAGTTTCTTCATCAGGAAAGGCTATTAGAATGTCATCCAAATAGCAAAACACGAAATAGCAAAAATTGAATTCTAGTGCATTCAACACACTGTTCATGAAAAGTTGGAACGTTTGGGGCGCATTTCGTAGGCCGAACGTCATGAATGGGGACTCAAATAAGCCAAAGGGAGTGAGAATGGCCGTTTTCGGTATATCTTCTTCGCGAAATGGAATTTATTGCTACGTTCTAATGAGGTCTATGGATGGGAAAACTCGTTTTCCAGCTAAAATGGAACTGCAATCTGTTAACAATGGGAGAGGGTATCTATGAGGAATCGTGATGTTGTTTAACACTCGATAGTCTCCACAAGGTCTCCAATCACCTGATTTCTTCATTGCGAGATGTAGCGGGCTCGACCAGTTACTTTGGATGGCCTGCATAAACCCATTTGGAGCATAAATTCAAATTCCTTTTTAGGCGCTTTGAGTTTCTCAGCTGATAGTCTCCTAGCTTTAGCGAAAACTGGTGGACCTCTGGTTTCGATATAATGTTCGATGTTATGATTTTTAACTTTATTATTAACTACATTTAGTTTTAACAAATCCGGAAAATCGTTAATGATACGTTTATATGGATCATTTACGCATTAAAATTGGAATATTATTATTGTTATTTTGAAAACAAGGAATTCCATTGGTTGTTAACAATGTAGTACAATCAATGAACTTGCGATTTTTGGAATCTACCAAAAGGTTAAAATGTGCAAGAAAATCCATGCCTATTATCGGTCTGTTTACTTCCGCAATTACAAAAGGTCATGTGAAAGATCGTCTGAGTCCAAGAACAAGCGTGAGTAATTTTTAGCCGTATGTTTTGATTTTCGTGCCATTTGCAGCAAAGAATTCTAATTTTGATATGTTTTTTATATGAAGGTAAGGGAGGAACGATGGAAATTTCTGCCCCGGTATCTCTTAAAAATTGGGTAGCAAATTCTTTGTCGCTGATGGAAAGATACGACTCAGCTGCACCCCTACTCCTTCCGTCGTCAATGAGAGACGGGGCGCTGTTGTTCCGGGCTATTTGTCTGTGATTTTGATGAGAAGTTGCACGGTTGTTTACACTTAAATGACTTATCACCGAATTTTCGATGGTAGTAACTATCACTAGATCTGTTACCTTTGTAATTCTGATCTCTTGATTTGGATCGGACTACTGTACGTTGCTTCGATAAAGCAGAAACTTGTAAGCTAAGTTTACTAACCTGTTTTTGTAAACTTTCAATCACTTCTCTTTTTACCGTTATGGATCAAGCAGCAGCTATTTGGGGAGTAACAGCGTTTAATTCCTCAATATTGTCGGTCATTGTAGCCACTTTTACAAATCTTCACCACTAACTTATATAATGCTATGCATATTAACGGGTAAACGTTGTAGCCACAATGCGTTTAGGAAAGTATCTGTTACTTTATCGCCCGCCAAATTACGCATCTCACACAGCAATTGAGATAGCTTTTTGTCACCCAGTTCTAATTCGCTCAGTAATTTTTAAATCTCTGAATCTGCATATAATGAAATTAGTCTATTTTTAATTGCCTGATATTTATTATCTTGTGGCGAACTTAGCAAAATATCAAATACTTGTGACAAAATATCGGGTTCAAGGGAACTAATAACATAATCATATTTTGTTTGACCTGCATTTATTTTTGCATTTCTACAGTGTACTTCTAGTTGAATAAACCATATATTAAGATCTGGATTCCAAAAAGGAGAAATGTTAACGCTTACCTTGGCGACAGACACAGATTTTGCTTTAATTTTGGTTTCCTCGTCGTCAGCCATTGTAGAATTCGATCACGCCGGCATACACCAGTGAAGTGTCTCGTATGCAAATGTAGGAAAACAACACTTCTCTGACCCCAATAGAATCAATATTTTATTCCTTATAACGTTATATATACTTAGTCATAATATATGTTTACATTTTACATGCACATTAAATCGCATGATAGAATACCGACTCTCGTTTTTCGTGGAGACAAGAAAAAGTGTTGCCATTCCGCTTTATGACTAAATTAGAAACTTGACGGAACTGAAGCGATGCTACAGAGGCTATTAAAATACTGTCCGAGCAGTTCGAATTTTTATTCGTCGATTTTTCAGGCTTCTCAGATGTATTAATTCTGGGTGTATTAGAGCGTGTATGTAGGTTTCCATAAGGCATTTCGGATTGAGCTTCAAAATAACAGAAACTGATTCCATGATTGTAGTTGCATTTTTCTGCGAATTTATGCCTTTATCCACACAATATGGTCTCGATTTACTTTTAGAATAACTCTGGATTTTCCCATTGGACGCATGTTCGTTGCCACGTTTACAGCAACTTAACTTCATAATCCGTTTACTTGGCTTTCGGAACTTTTATGCGGATGACCGCCCTTAAGCTAGTTAAGACGCCTCGGAGCGTATTTACACTCATCCAAAGAATAGAGATTCTTTGACTCATCCAAGGAATGGAAAAATTATTGGTAGTTGTGGGCATTGGGCCAGCCACACAAGCCTTGAATTTTTACTGCTCCACAGAGATAGAGAATGTTAAATTTTTTACTTCATAGATTTTTTCAGCACCAGGCTTGTTGACTAATTGTAACTGAAACATCAGCATAGGAGCACGAGTTTTGAATCTGATCATTTGCGCAACTTTAAGAATATTGGATCCTTCCAGAATTCCTCTTTAATTTCATCGACGGCACAATCTCACGGTAAACCTCAAAGTGAAACTTTAAGTGGTCTAACCTTTTTGGTTAGAGAACCAACTTTACACATGGTTAGTTTTTCCAATCATATTTCTACCTTCTCCTATCCAACCAATCAGATACCGGAATTTGTTGGACTTTTACTAGAACTTTCTTTGAGTTCTATTTTTGTATTTAACTGTGAACTTAGTTCGGAAATATTCGTGTCGTCTGTCTGTCTGTTTTGATGTGGTACCCGCTTCTGTTTTGATTTATATATTTTTCGCAACATTGTTTGCAAACATCGAAAAATCTTAGATAGAAACCTGTATATTTTTCTCAGTGTTTTGAAGTTTTGCAAACATTTTCAACTTCCAGAGCTATTCTTTTTTTTGTATCTGTGGACTGAATATTGTATACTGAAATCGGCTGATAAAAATCAGCGTAATATCTACAGTTAGTCAAACCATTCTGTTTTTATGCATTTTATGCAATAATCATTCGTGTATTCTGGACTAAAGGTAAGTAGTACTGGTTGTACAGTTGATTTGTAAACTTTACCCTTTGTTTATCCTTTTTGAGTTATATATGTTTATTTTAATTATATTAATTTTAGTAATATGCGTGCCACTAACTCCTTTCTCTGACTTACTTGTGTTTAGCCAGTATTTTTAATGTTCAAGTACAGTGACTCTTTGTTACTAGTGAAGACTTATGCTTTTAAGTAAAAACTTCTATAACCATTTGTCTAGTTCTTTTTTAAACAAAATTCTGTTATTCAAATGTATTGAATGCATATATTGTGTTAATGTTATTTACAGTAACACCTCAACTTGCACAAATCAAAATTCCGCTATTCCTTGTCATACATATTTATGATTATAATTAATTTATATCTGAAATTATCAGTAATTCAGAAAATGAAAAAAATAAAAGGAGGGAGGTTTACTACAGAGAATCTGGTAGATATAACCAACCACCACTAAAAATGGCAATAACAACTCAAAGCTGGTAATCCCACAAATATTAGTCACAACCATTCCTTTTGTGTTCTTGCTTTCTTTCATTGGTTTCTCCCAATTTAAATATTGTAGTGGTATAACATTTGTTATTTTTGTCTTTGCAGTGTTTGCATGTGTAATTCACATCTCACTTGAGTATTATTAATATCCCTGATTTTTATGTTATCTTGGTATTTGCATATTGTTGCAACCATCTTAGTTGAAACTGTCAAAGCTTCAGAATAAACCAAAGTCTTGTAACCATGTGCATAACATTTATTCAAACATGGCAGATATTCAGTTACTAACATTGCCATTGCCATTCTTTTTGCTGTATTCCAAGTTCCTACGGCTTTTACAGAAAAATTATGGTAATTTTGCTGTCCGATTTTAAATTGTGTATTTGTAGGATTTTCTTATAATAGAAAAAAGAGAAGTGAAATTTTTGTAGAAATGTATTATTTTGCTGCAAAATCGCTAAAGGAACAATGCTTCGAATTCTTTCTCGAAATAGTCACTACGAAATTTCCATCATATTAAAAAGATGTTTGTAGTTAGGTTTAGTGATTGTCTTTTGGAATAAATATTTAGTTAGGTTAAAATATGCATGTTATAATATTTATGTAATAGATCATTTTTTACAATAAAATTAATTGTTCTTCCATAAAACTTGCCAAACTGCGTGAAGGTTGGTGTTTAGTACGACTACCTTTTTCTAAAAGTAAAGTTACCAAAAAGTGGTTTCACAAAGAAAATATAGCAAGTCACTTGTTTGAATATTTGTTTCAGCATTAAATTAAATGGTCTGTTCTATTATCAGGACTGGATCCAGAAATGTATGTATCGATGTATGTGTATATGTAAGCACGAATGTATGTGCGTATACATATATATGCACATGTATATTATTTCATGCATTTCTAAATCCGGTCTCGATAACAGAACAGTACTAATTAAATTAATGGTCAATATTCATTAATGGAAATTTTGGCTAATCTTTGGAATATGGTAACAGATAGTTTGGCAACATTTTGGTAAGGCGATTGAGGTTACTAATTACTTAAGTAATAATCTGAGAAGTGCACAGTTCCAATCTCAGATTATTTTGTGGTGACTTTTATAATGGATCATTTAGAGGGAAAAGGAAATTAATGTAATTTCTTGCATATTTTATTTATTTTATACGTGCTCATGTTCATCCTTGGAAAGGGTATATGCAAGCTGAACATATAAAAGCTTGCATAATATACATTATGCAATTAAGAATCAGGTAATACATAAATTACCTGATCCGATCAGGTAATTTCATATCTGTTCTTTTTACCGACTTCAACAATTCACAAAATTTTCATGCAAATTTTTCTAATTTATGAGAAAAATTATTTACATGTTTCATATATAAATTTGCCTGTAAAAACAAACTTCTATGCACGTTTGTTCCACTACTTTCCGGAAAATTCTGATCAGGATTTTAGCTAATAAGCACTTAAAAACAATTTCGCAATACTTTCATCATGATAGCACTTTTGTTCCATAAAGTTTAGCATAAGCTATTCGGCTAGCAATTGTTAGAAAAAATGTTGAGTTGAAAAAAAAAAATGCCTTTACTTTGTGAAAACAAATGGCGTCCGAAAAAAAAACTAGCAGGGTTGGTCGCCAAATTTTCCCAAAAAAATCTCCAAGTTACCATAATACGAAGATTCACTAAAATTTCAAATGCAGTTATTCCTGAGTGGCAGGACCTTATTTATTTATTTAAATTTTTTCACATGATATACAGTGGCTCCCAGAAGTGTTCGTTCACATTAAGAATTTGTAGAAAAAGTACTGTAGTCGAGAACTGAATTTGAATACAAGACCCAATATTTTTTTTCATATGATCTCCATGCGATTTTTAATCAAACTTAACTTTTTTTTAATATTGACTAATTTTCTTTTTCTAAAATTGAAAACTGTAATTAGGCAGGGAAACATGCCACAAAAGCAATCATACACCAAAACATTTTCGTAAAATTTCATAAATATCGTTATAAAAAAATGTTTGCATTTTGACTATGTTTAAAAATTCTTTTGGCTTTATTCTTTGCTTGCTTACTTCGCATAGTTTACTTAATATTAAATTTATGCATAGTTTACTTAATATTTAAGAATGGGTTGTAGTTGCAAGGAAACAACAAATATCATTCAAAAATTTATCATTTTTCATCATAAGGGATGGAAAAGCAATCTGGGATATTGCTAATTTCCTAAATTTATCCCATTCTATGGTGTAGTATATGATAAAATACTTTAAACAAGAAATTTAAGGAATCCAATGCAGAAATAAACCTTTACAAATATTTTCCCATCAGTCAAATTCACCGCAATCACGCTACCAATCATGTCATAATAGGGTTTCCATAACATTCAATTACTCAGGTTACCATAAATGAAGCAACAATTTGGCAATAAATGAAACAACAACTTGACAATAATCCAAGGGACACCCTAAAATATAGACTAACCCTTTTTTATACTAACTTTATGCTTAATATTTTTTTCCAATTTCATTTAACCATATATGAATTTAACAATATTCTTAATATCAAGTTGGTAAAAATATATTTATTTGGCAATAATTGGCAGTACATGGACACCGAGTTTGTGCAATTCTTTGCCTTTGTGTAGCAGCAATTTTTGTGCCAAAAATCGCCACTGCAGAAATACAAAATAACAAGTCAAAAGAATTGCACAAACTCTGTATCCATGTACACATCGACATATTTTCGTTTAAAAAAAATCAGAGAATTGCCCAAACTAGGCATTGCGCACTCCCTTGACTTGTCCATGTACACATCAATCTATATTCACTAAAAAGTCAAAGGAGCAGCCAACTAAAAATATATAATCTCAGTAAACTATATTTTAAATCAAACGATGAAATAACATAAAAAAGGAATTTCATCTTAGCACTACACAAATATCCCCTTACTTTATTTACACATTTCCATGTCTTCACTCAAACAAAATTCCTTAACAACATCCAAAAACTTCCTAAAATTATCTCAGCTAGAATCTTTATACTGGCATCGGCACATAAATTCACAAAAATTATCTTCCATAGTGCGTGTATTATCGGACGTTCAACTATACGCATTTCCTTCCTATAAACAGAAAACTTAATAAACCTTCCTTAAACCTACTCTAACCATCAAGTTTTTCTTCCTAGTTTTAATTTGTATTTAATGAATGATTTTAATTAAATATTTCATATTTAATGAACTAAATTAACTAATCTACTAAGTAAACCTTCATTTACATACCAGGCAGTTAATGCTTTTTCCCTTTCGTTCCAAATCATACAGAAACTTCAAGTTAATCTTACCACATTCACCCATTTTATCGTGTAAAGCACAAAATAACAACGTACTTCTTATGCAAAATCTGACACACACTTTCCAGATCTTTTCCCATCATTCAAATTGACCGCAATCATGCAACCAATTACATCATAATAAGGTTTCCATAACATTCAACTACTCAGGTTAGCATAAATGAAACAACTTGGCGATAAATGAAACAGCAACTTAGCGATAATCCAAGGGGCACCCTTAAACCTACTCTAACCATCAAGTTTTTCTGCCTAGTTTTAATTTGATTTAATAAATGATTTTAATTAAATATTTCATATTTAATGAACTAAATTTGGCTTATTTATGTTTCTTATCATGCATTTTTGCTAAGTTTATTTGAGTATTATTCTGCCTAACAATAGCTTAAATCACTTCCCCTGAAATCATGATTGCCGATTTGCCATTGGGGAGTAAAAAATGGACTATTGCCAACAGTTTCTTTATAGTGGTAAACACAAACAAAACATTTCTGTGCCTGTACAGTACTTTTAAACAAATAATATGTGTCTAAGCATATAATTAATGTTAAATATTATGTGTCCACCATAGTAATTTATTAAGGCTCTCAAATCTCACATGTGTGTTTAAAAAAAAGAAAAATCGCATTTTAATCATATTCATGGTCAGTGCAGTTGTTCTGCATTTATATACAAAGTGCAATTTTCATTCTTTAGAACAAATAAAGCAAAAAACAAAGTTTGATATTCTTTTTATTGGCCTCCCTTTATTTAAAAAGCATAACTATATAAAGAATTTGTTACTTTTTTGAAGTTGTCGCCATTGAAATAACATCTTTTTTAAGTAACTCATTTATTTTTAAATACTGTTTTGGGTTGATCTTTACATTATGGTAACTTGGCGATTTTTTGGCGAAAATTTGGCAACCAACTCTCCTACAGCAACCCTCTTTTTTCCCACCGCTATTTTGTCTTCACGAAGTAAAGACATGTTTCTTTTCTTTTTATCTACTGAACACTTCTTCCAACAATCTACTAGTTGAATTACACTTATGCTAGAAATTTTATCAAATAAAACTGCTTAATCATGACAAATATTCACTGCAAAATTGGGAAAAAGTGCACAATACCATACTCCTTACGCAACACATACACATAAACCATGTACATGCAGACTTATTTTTACTTAAAAAAACATCCCAGAATTGCACAAAAATGGCATTGCGCACACTCTTCACTATATCCATGTACACTGCTTTTTTCTCATAAATTAGAAAAATTTCACGAAAATACATGACAATTTTCTCAATCTTTAAACCCGGTAAAAAGAACATATATGAAATTACCTGATCGCGAAAAAGTATTTACCCTTTCCAAATATGAACATTTCCACATATAAAATAAATAAAATATCCAAAAACTTTTACCTCTAAATCATCTATTATATTATAAACGTCACTAACGAATTCATACCGCAACCATTACAAATACTTAGTGTCAGATATTTAAATTATTTCCATGCACGTTTACTTCAACTAAAACGTATACCAAATTCCTACAAACATAAAATTCACAAAATAACTATCATTTCATTAAAATATAATTAAATTCAAAAACACTACTTAAAATATAAATGAGCACATATATTAATTAATAAAAATTAGCTTACAATCCTAATTACTTTAAACTAAATCATTGCTAATAACAATTTTTTTTCCCAATAATACCAAATTCCTTTCCACCTTACATTTAGACAATGCATAAAAATAATATCCTCAAATAATTAAAAATACTAACTTACCTAATTTCTTCAGAATCTTGATTATGTGTCCGATAAACTTTTCTTCTATCCTTCACAACCTTAAACAAACATTTATTACTACCCTTTTCAATACCACTAAAAACCCATTTAGAATTCACTTTAGTTACGGCCATGGGATCCAAAAAATTAACCAGACTGTTTTCACACAACACACAATAAAGCCAATATACAAATTTCCAGATTTTTTCCCGATTTCCCCCCTTTTCCGATTAAAGAACCGTAATTCGTCCATTAATATCACATGACATATCCATGATCTCTCATTTCCCTCACACAAAATAATGCGTAATCGGAACTGAGTACTGCTCACATTATTACCAAAGTCCCAGGTAGTAACCTTTATCGCCTCCAAAATGTCACCAAACTACCAGTTACCATATTATAAAGATCAACCCTGTTTTGTATTCATGTGTATGAAATCAATTTTATACATATCAAGGCAAAATAGTATTAAAACCAATACAAAATAGTATTTTAGGTACTTTCTGGTTGTTTGCACCTCCACTGAAAAGTTATGAACTCAGTTACTTTGAAGAGAAATGTTTGAATATCTTCATATTTATTTCGGCAATGCAATTTCTGCTTAATATATTTCCTTGATATATCTCTACAAAATATGCACACTTCTTGTTTGTTTGTGCTGTTGTTCTTCCTATGTATACAGCAATCTGGTTTTGCTAAAAAAAGCAAATATTAGCAATAAAACTTGTGAAAAGAGGCTCATGATGTCTTTAAGCCAACCACATTATGTTCCATGCATGCAGAAACCTGAGTCTAAGATTTTACCAAGGATTACTGCTATGCAAAAATTCTGAAATTTCACCACTAAACCTGAAATTTCTATAGGAGGTACAATCTGCAGTCACACTGAAGAAAATGTTGAGAGGAATTGAGTAATCTGAAACGATGTCTGGGTTGCCATATAAATAATTTTCAGCAAAATCATGGGCTTCCACATAAATACTTTGTAGCAACATTTGGGTGCTGCCCCATCAATACTTTTTCAAGCTTTTTGGTGTTGTGGATCAACAAGGTTTGTACACAAGGAGGAAAAATGCACCAGATAGTTAGCCCCATCAAGATGTTTTAGAGGGACTTCTCACATGTTAGCTGGTATTTCAAAAACAGAAACTTTAATACACGAACTGATCTTAGCTTTGAATTGAACTGAGCTTAGCTTTGTGATTTTACTAGATCGATCTTATGTTAAAATTTAGGAAGAAATTATTTACATAATACAGGGTTGCCATGCTTCCTGGAAAAGTGGAGAAAGTCGGAGAATTTCATATGGCAATCCCCAGAAATGTGATTTCTGTGCCAATGTTGGCAGCAGGATCACTTTCTTGGTAAATTCTATATCGTGTTCTGTGTATTCCAGCAGCTGCCAAAGAATTAATTTTTGCAGCAAAAATCAAGGCACAGCAAGTTTCTAGCATCTTTGGTGTCCAGTAACCTCCAGAATCCAGAGAGTGTGACTCAATCTGTGCATGTTGAACAAAAGAAAATTTTTGGTAGCTGCCTCCGAGATTGAATCATCAATCAACCGAGATATCTCGTCAAAATCTGGCTGTGTGTTCTTATACTTCGCCACGTAGTCTTATATTAGCACTGTGCTGCATTTTTGCCCTCCCCGTGTGTTTTAATATTATTCATTTTTGATGAGGTTTTTGAATTTGCATTGTTTATTTAAAAACATGTTCATTGCTTTTTGTGTGTGTGACTGTGACATTAACAATCTTTAATTTCCCAAGTGTTGAGGTGGATGCCATGTAATTTTTCCAAGAAAGAGGTCTTTTACTTGGCAAACAAGTATGCGAACATAGTTAACTAATCACATTAAGTATTAGTAAATTTACCAGACTGTATTATTTAACAACAAAAGTAAGATTACCAGAATAAAATCATTATTAACTATAAAATCACCAAATTTTATGTGCACTTTACCCGTAATTACACCAATAACATTTTATTTACTTAATTTTGGGGGTAACAAGTAAATCATAAAATACATTATTACATCACTACAAAAATACATTTATAAACACATAAATGCGTGAGCACATAAATACATTTTTAATTAAATTCTTAGGAATATTTTCTGTTTTATCTGGTCTTCCCCCACAAATTTCTGTTGTCCTTGATTCTTGTTTTTAAAATATAGCCTTAGATATTATTATGTACAGATTTATTACATATATCTTGTGTCATTATCATGTACTAAATGTATGTTTTCTAATATTTAGATGTTTGATTGGACATGGCATGAAGAAGAGAATAGTAATTTTCTAGAAATAAGGGATGACAATAAGGATGTGATATTTCATCCAAGACTAAGCAATGGAACAGCAGTCGTCCGTGGAACTAAAGCTATGTCTAATGGTCAACATTACTGGGAAGTTGAGATGGCATCACCTGTATATGGTACTGATGTGGTATGTACTATATTTATAAAAAGTTCAATTTTATTAGTCCAAAGGGATTTGAATCCCGAAGGACTATTAGTTTCGTTTTGGCATTTTGTGTCAGACTCATAAATGTCGGTTCACTTTTCAAACTGTTGCCACAAAATGTTAGAGTCCTGCATTATATTTGAAGAAATTAAATAATGAAAAATCTGCATAAATGTATGTATATTTCTCATATTGTGATAAAACAACGGTACATAGAGTCATCGAATTTTGAATAACGTAATCCTCCAACGAATATGAGCATGTGGAAGACCAAATTTTGAAATTTGTTTTATGATTGATTTCCTATTTTTTAAAACTTTGACGAATTTTTGATTAACAAACTCAAGGATTTCAAAGCGAGCAATGGCAACGTTGTGCAGAAAAAACATTTTTATCTCCAGCGCGTGAGTCTCTGTATCGAAATTCTAAAGATATGCTCGTTTTAAAACTTATTTTGCGATATTGCTGTTGCACTGGAATCTTATGGTTTAAGTGCGAGGAACATGATATTTAAATAAATAAAGGTAACACACAAAATGTTAAAAAAACGCCCCCTTTGGACGTAATTTAAAATCTGAAACATTTCAGATTTTGTTTTTTTGTAATTAGATTTTACAGATTGTAGCAACAGAATATTTATTTTTATATTGCACTGAAACAGGATGTTAAAATTTTAAGTACCATATTTACTTGAAAATAAGACCCTTTTTTTTTACATCTATATTGTTTAAAATTTATTAGAATCATATAAATAGGTCAATCACATTTTGCAGAACTTGCAAAATGGGAAGGAGGAATTTAATATTATATAGAATAATTACACTCTTTAAGTACTAAGCAAACCACAAGGTATTTACCATATATATAAACCACATAACTGCTGTTAATTATAATAGCCATGGTTTATTTTGAGTGATGAATTTAGGTTTGCATCCACTATACTGGTTAGGTATAAGTTACATATTGGGTAGTTTTACTGCCTCTTCTTTTTTTATAAGAAAATCCTCAAACCATCAGTATTTATCATGAGTAAGCAGACATATAAAAAAAGAACTCTTTAACAGTGTAAAATACAAATTTAATTACTCAATAAAGATTATGTGATTATTTGTAAAGAACTCTTACATAACAAAAAGATCAAAATAATGGCACTACCAGCATTCCCCTCTCATTCATTAGGGATAGGGCGGTCCCTCTTTGGCAGCCATTGGTATCAAAATGACCTTGTTCATGTCACATGATGCTGGCTGATTTTCGAACTAACATGCTTGCTACCACTGTGGAATTCCGCCTATGAGTGTTCTTTGATTGTGTTGATTGACTTAAGTTTGATGTTTTATCTTCATTATTTTTGTGTATGTCGTAAGTTAATATATTTTCTAATCTAATTTGAATTAATTCTGAAGTAATTGAAGTAAAATCAGGCATATCATATTCATCCTTGCATTAACACGTTTCTATGAAATGGGGACTCTAATCTCAACTAAGGTAATATGTAACATATTTGGTCGTAACAAAAGTTTTCCGCCAAAAAATGTTCTTAGTTAGAAAAAAAAATAGGAAAGCAGTATATTTAGTGTGGATAGTATCTCAAATCTGTGCTTATCTGCCAATGTTTTGGTAGTTTTTTAAAAGCCCAGAAACTTGGTAGTTGCAAGTCCAAAAACAGATCAGCCTCATGTCAACCTCAAACATCCTGTGCAGAATGGAAGATAGCACCAACAAGATGTAACTGCAGTTGTAAAAAAAGGTAGAAATCTGAAGGAGTGATATCAGGACTATATGGTGGGTGTGGCAAAAGATCCGATTCGAGTCCTTATAGAGTCCAGCTGCTGAACACAGACACAAGTGGTCTTGCATTATCTTGATGGAACATTACCTTTTTGTGCCAGAATTCAGTTTGTTGTTTTTCCTTGACAGCAGCATCAACATGGACTACCATCTCACTGTACATCTTATTGAGGGTTTTATTTTTTTCCAGATACTCTTTATGGAAAATACCATGGCAATTCCACCAGATACAAACATGATCCTTATGTTAGTCGAATTGTGCTTTGCGATACTGCCAACAGTCTCATCGGGTGCAGGCCAAACCCCTTTTCGGCCTGCATTGTTGTAGTAAATCCACTTTTCAACGCAAGTGATGATACATTCCAGAATTTTGTCCTTTCATTGATATTTGAGCAGATTAGGGCAGGCCCAAACACATCTGTCATTGTGCACTGTCAAGTAAGGTTTAAGATTAAAATTATTGTCTAACAGTGAAAATTTCAACTTTGATGCGCACCCAATACTCCATGATCCAGTTTACTGATATATTTGAGAATAAATGGCCAACAATGTATCACTAACTTTCCTAATTTTTCTTTAGATAACTTATAAAATAAATATTTACATATGTTTTCCTTAAAATTTATCCTAAAATCTAAGGAGGAATCTTTATTTTTATGTAAATATGGATAAATTTAAAGGACAAAAATATGAATATTCGAGAAGAATAATGAAGCCTTGAAACCATTTAATACGCAATAAATTCAACACAATGCTTATCTTTAAAAGTACATGCAAAGTTAAGCATTTTGATGAACTGATGCTAAAAGTGTCTTAGCTTAGAAGACAAAATAAACTTTCTCTTGCATTTTTATTTCTTGAAATTTATCCTGGAATTTTAAAGAGAGTGTTATATTCCAGTGGGTTTTATTTTCGAGTAAATATGATATTTATTAAAACAGCAGTTAATTTAGAAGTCAAACAACAAGAAATCAGCGTTATATTTTCAAATTTTCACAGGACTGGTTTTGATAGTTCGGTAAAACCATTGAAACTAGCCCTGTGAAAATTTGAAAATATAATGCTGATTTTTGTTGTTTGACTTCTAAATTAATATTAGTTCGGCATGTTATTGTATTCTAAAACTCCAGTTATTCAGGTTGCATTTTCCTGTTTTAGGCCTTGCAAGATATATTGTTAAAAGATACTATCAGATTCAAGTTGAAGATTTTGGTGACTTTTTGTGTGAAGCTTAACAAACCGTTGATATATATTGCAAGTTGGCAGATATTGTGAACATATGAAAAGAAAGTTCACATTACCAGTTTAAAGTAGAAATTTTAATTGTTAAATAAATTTTACATGATGCATTAAAAAATGAAACATTCCCCCCCCCCAAAAAAAACCAAAGAATTGCATAACTCAGCATTGAACACCAGCAAGCATCCAAGAATACTTTCATAGAACACTATAGTTCTGAATATTCAAATGAATGTGTATGAATTTCATAGGCTATAATTTTATGAAAGACAAATTAAATATATATAGATAGTATTAAATAATATTTGGCAGTAACCATGCATGGGTTTTTTCTACATATAGCAACCATTAAAACTTCCTGTACTCTATGCATTAACTTCATTATTACTACCTGTATTTCTGTCATTAAGCTTGATTTAATATTTAGCTATAAGCATGTAGGGAAAAAAATGTTTAAAGGAATGTAAATTATGTCGTAATAAATATAGCCATTATCAATTAACCAATCTGTAATGCAATTTTCTATCTGACAGTTTTCAGGAACTATACAGTTTTCTTTTCCTCCTTTTCTTTCTTTCTTTCTTAAAAAAAAAAAAAAAAAAAAAAAAAAAACTAAGCCATTAAAAAAAAGCCAGAAATCAGAAAATAAATGTATAACTGTTTCAAAATTTAAATGTAATTAAAAGAAAGTGTGAAGAATGTAGTGAATAAAATGTCACTTTAACCATGGATATTCACAATTAATAATGTCTGATAATGATAGAACTATTCAAATAAAGTATCACTAACAATAATACTTGCATCACAAAGATGATGAGGTAAATTGCATATACTTTGAAAGATGCTCAGCAGGTCCTTCTGCAGCAGTGATGCTAATTTGGTGCCAAGGTAGAACTGGGGGATGTGTATGATTAATTATCATTAATTATCATTAATCATACACATTCCCCAGCATTCCATTAATCATACGTAATCCCCACAGTTATTTAATGATAATTCTTAAAAAAATTATCATTAAATAACTGTAACAAATTCTGCAAAGATGTGCATTTCAGTACATAAAGAGTCTGTTGTAATTTTGTATGTGCCATACCGGGTACTATATCCACCTCGGCCATAACTCTAAAGAATTTTAAACAAGTTTCCTTAGTTGAATTTTCTGTAAAGATCTGATAGAAGCTTTTGACTATTTAAACCTCTTAAGCATTATATAATCAGCAATGAATTAAATTTTCATTTGCAAATGAAAAATTTTAACCTAAAATTTGAAATGATCTGACACAAAGTAAGCAATAAAAAGTTTTGTAACAGACATCATTTTTTCTTCCTAATAAAAGGTTTCAGAATCCTTTTGATTTTGAATAATATTTAAGTAATAATAAATCCATTTTATATAATAGTAAATTTATAGGAAATTAAAAAACTATTTCTCTTATCATGGGTACATATAATATAAAAAGCATTAATAGCAGGAATGATTTTTTTTTTATTTAACAGCATAAATTTATGATTTAAACTAATTTTATACTTTTGCAAAACTGAATTTTTTTATTGTTAACATTATTGTACAAATAATCATACAAAATGTTGTATAAATTTAGAGGCTCAAAAATATTAAGCTGGAGGGTAAGCCCCAAAAATTTCCATTTGAAAACAGTTCAACATTTTTTGCTGTTTTATATCCAGTATCATATATTAAAGACTATTTTGGAAAAAATAACACGAAATTTCATATAAATTTAGAAGCTAAAAATTGCAAATCTAGAGCGAAAAGGAAAAAGTTGCCATTCAACAATGTTTGAACACTTTTGAATGGAAAATGTTTATTTTTGCTGTTTGATATTCCTGATATATCAGAATTTTAAAAATTGCAGATTTCTATAGAATATTATTTTATAAAGGCTTTCTAAAATTTCTGTTGGATTTTTCAAAGCCATATTTCTGTAAAATTCTGTTCTGTAAAAGTTTTATAATTTTTTTAAAAAAATTTATAGACAAGCATTTCTATAGAGGATAACTTATAAAGTTTCTTAGGAATTCCTGTAGAGCTTTGTTAGTCTCTACACAGAGTTTTTGTAAGGACAGCCAAGGTTGCATTGGTGATGGGTGAATTGTAATGATCAGACAAAAAATGTGTTGCAGATTCTTCCATTAAATGAATTCCATTTTTTGTATAAGTTGTTCTGATTTAGTCTTGAATATTGTATATAAGTATGATTATTAATGTATTATACATTTTTCACAGATGATTGGGGTAGGAACATCAGATGCCGATATATCGCAAGTACGTGACAGGTTTGTAAGTTTATTAGGCATGGACAACAAAACATGGGGCTTATCATATACTGGTCAGTTCCACCATGATGGTTTGGCTCGGGACTATGCACCTCGTTTCGTGCTGGGAAGTATCATTGGAGTTCACTTGGACATGTGGAATGGCACCCTGTCATTTTACAAGAACAGAAAAAATCTAGGTAAGTTAATGTTGCTTGATTTTTAGTTTTTTCCTTTTGCATTCTAACCCCATCTAAAATATAGCTCATACATCAAAGTTGGGTTTCTTCTGGAAGAAATATGTCTCTTCTAGGACAGTGGAAGAAATTGAATAAGCTGGGGAAAAGTTAACATTGATGCAGCTGTGAGGCTGCTAAAAAAAAGATAACTTTAATAATATTTTAAGATATTTGAAAAAAAAAAGTTTTATTACTTTTTTCAGAAAATGCAAAATAATTAAATACTTTTTCTCACAAATCCCATATAATGAAACTGTTTGTATGGATTAGATATACTACAGTGGGTGATCGGTTAACGAACATAATCCGTTCCAAGGTAATGTTTGATATTCGAATTGTTCATTAACTGATCAACGATTTACCATATATGTTAATGGGAATTCGATTAATTCTTTCTGGAGATCCTAAAAATTAAATTTTTAAAAAATGTCATGTACAAGTATAATTTCTTAGTAAGTTTATTTATTATAAATATAACACATACATATAATCTTACTTATTAGTCAGACCTTTTCCTTTCTTTGGCCGTTAAAGAACATGTCCAATGTCGATTATTTTTCTCTCTTCTGCAGGACTTTCAGAAAATGATAGATAGCAGTGTCGTTGTAGAGATCAGCAACCCTATTGACATCAGCTTGGTTTGGGTGCCATTTTAAGACCGTTGCTCTGACATCCTCCCACTTCTTCAAAAGATCTTTAATGGCAGATTGTCGGCATTGCTCCTCTTTCGTCTACCTCTTTTTCAGAAGGAAACATATTTTGCTGAGTTTCTTGGTGTTCTTCATTCAAGATTTCTTGGAGTTCTTCTGCCGTCAAGTCACCTTCATGTTCCATTATGAGCTCTTCAATGTCATCCTCGTTTGCCTCCAATTCCAGATCTCTCGCAGGCGTTACAATTTCATCCATAATTTCAGAGGTGTCACCCTGTTCATACCTGTTTCCTTGAACGAGGGATGGTCACAGCTTTCGCCAGGCAGAAACCAACTGTCATTGAGTGATTTCTGACCATGCCTTTTCAATAAGACGAATAGCTTCGAGAATGTCAAAATTTTCTATCCAAAACGTTTTTAAAGTCATTTTTGAGAAGAATTGGCATGCTTCAAAACATCACCGAAACATCGCACGAGTGTACAATTTCTTGAAACCTGCAATAACCTCTTGATCCATTGACTGAATCAGTGAAGTCGTATTCGGAGGTAAAAACTGCACTGTCAGCCAGGTAAGGTCTATCAGCAAATTATCTTCAAGGTCCTTTAAGTGCCCTGGTGTGTTGTCCAATAGCAGCAATGCTTTCAATGGCAAGTCATTGGTATCAAGGTAGTCCTTGATACTCGAGGCACAAACTTCAAATAGCCACTCATTGAAAAGAACCTGCATGACCCATGCCCTCTGATTCAATCTCCACATCACTGGCAGTTTTTCTCTTGATTATGGAATTTTTTTCTGAATGCTCTAGGATTCTCAGAGTGATAAATGAGAAGTGGTTTAAGCTTCATATTACCACTAGCGTTAGCTCCCAAAAGTAACGTCAATCGGTCCTTCATGGGTTTATGCCCAGGAACACTTTTCTCATCTTTTGTGATGTAGGTACAGTTCGGCATGTGCTTCCAAAACAAACCAGTTTCATCGCAATTAAATATTTGTTGTGGACAATACCCTTCTTTTTCAATGAATTCTTGAAATTTGAGACGGAACTTCTCAGCGTCCCCTTTATCTGCACTAGCAGACTCACCATGCATGACCACATGTTTAATGCCAGATCTCTTTCTAAACTTTGCAAACCACACAGTGGTAGCCTTGAATTCTAGATTTTCGTATGACGAACCTGGAGTTTGATCTTTCAATTTCTCAAAAATTTCTCTAGCCTTCTCTTGAATGATAGCCATACTAGTTACATCTCTTTTCATCTCCTGCTTGTTTATCTAAACTAAAAGCAAACTCTCCATTTTTTCATGGATGGCACTTCTTTGCTTCTCAGATGTAATTTTCATTACTCCTTTAGTGGCTTGAGTCTTCTTGATGATATCTTTCTTAGCTAGGATTGTGCCTACTGTAGACCTGTTCAAGCCGTGCTGCCTAGCAACATCAGTCATTTTTTTGTCCACTCTCTACTTTAGTTATAATCTCTTGCTTGGTTTTTATGGTGAGCACAATTCTTGACACTCCACTCTTTTTAGGTCCCATAATATTGTCATATTTTCAAGTTTTTTTATAAGGCGTTTAGAGAAGCACATACGAAAATCACAAGGACAGAAACCAACTATGGTGTAAATACGCACATACATTCTTTGTCGCTAAAACTCAATTCAAATCAAAATATAAAGAAATCTCACTTACCTGTCAGACGCATTCTCGCCTTTTATCATTTTCTCCATATTTTATTTGCGACACAATTAAATACATTTACAACAAAGAGAAGCACATATAAACTTTGGTTAATGTTTCGCGTTGGTGTTACATCTTTCGCAATCATCAAGGTTCTGCACTAGTCCGAAAAATTTAAGCGCACACAGCGCCATCTGGTGCAATACAGTTTCTACAGACTGCCCCCCTCCCGAATGACCAGGAGTTCATTCAAAAACTTGCATTAATACAAATTTAACAAAGGAAACTTTTACAATGTAAAGTTCAATCAATTCACATATTAAAGAAACTGCACTTATTTACTGTATAAACAAATCATTCATCTTTAAACAATTTGTAAAGTTACCTGCAATAAAGTATAATAAAGATAATAAGTGGCAACTCAATACCTGTACATACATTAAACTTTCATCACAAATATGGAATAGTCCTGTAACAATAATACAGTTTAATAAACATATAATAAACAATTAAATTTATTCATTTATTTCAAGATTATATAAAAGCTGCACAGGTCTTTTAATAACTGATGTACCTGCTTTAATTTCACAAGACCTTACTTTTCCATCTCGGCCAGGAAATACTGTTTACAACTCTTCCTAATTTCCAAAAATGTTTAGGTAGCTTTTCATCATGAATTAATACAATATCATTAACTTTAAATTCAGTAATTTTACCTGAAGGTTTAACACAATGAACAGATCTCAGCATTAATAAGTATTCATTTTTCCATTTATTCCAAAACATACTTACCATTACCAATCTTTCTCGATAATTAAATCTTTTAATTAGCATTTTCCTATTAACTAAATTAGAATCAAAATGAAGCCTGGCAGGAGGCAAACTATTCACCCTGCGCCCAATAGCATATGAGCTGGAGTTAGAGGCATAGGTTCCTGTAATTCAGAATAAACATAAGTTAAAGGACGAGAGTTAAAAACACCTTCAATTTCAATAATTAGAGTTTCTAACTTTTCTCGAGATAAAGTGGGTTTTCTTAGAGTTTTTCGTAAAGTAAGTTTCACAGATTTAATTAGTCTTTCGTAGAAGCCACCCCACCACGCAGCTTTCTCAGCGATGTAGCACAATTGGATTTTGTGGGAGGCGTAAAAGTCTTTTACTATTGGATGACTAATGACAGTCCACAACTTTTTAAGTTCAAGTTCCGTTCGTTTGAAAGTTTTGGCATTGTCCTTCAAAACTTAAGAAAATAGACCTCGACAAGCAGTGAATCGTCGAAAAGCAAGAAGAAATGTTTCTGGGGTCATGCTACCAACAAACTCTAAATGAAGAGCTCACGTTACTTCACAAGTAAACAACATGATGTAGTTTTTCTCATCCCTGTCTTTGGTATAAAGTGGTCCACCGAAATCCATACCTACTACAGAACAAGGAGGTAATTCTTCTGTTCTATTTACTGGTAAAGGAGCAGTAACTTGCACACCAAGAGAAGAATTAAATCGTTTACACAGAATACATTTTCTTAAGATATTTTTAACAGTTTGTCTCCCTTTAATTATCCAGTATCTTTCGCGTATTTCTATCAAAGTTTCAGAAATTCCGCCTTGAAACACTTTGCTGTGTGCATCTCACACTAATAAATTCACAAAGTGATGTTTTGAGGTCATAATAATTGGGTGTCTTTGAAGGTAAGAAAGTCTTGAATTCTGAAGTCTTCCACCAACATGCATTATCCTGTCTTTATTAAGAAAGGGATTCAGTTCTAGAATAAACCTGTCTCAAAGAATTACCCTGTCTCAAAGAGGACAGCTCTTCCGCAAAAGTTTCACTTTGAACAGTTTTGTCCAGATAATTTTAGCCTCGTTAAGTTCTTCAGTGCTTAGTTCACCATATCGTTTAGTTTTAAATTTAAGGTTGTATATAAATCGTAGTATCCAAATTGTAACACGGTATAATTTTCTTAAACTACTATATCTATTCAAATCCATTAAATGTGTCAAATTCGATTGCACTTCGCACACAAAAGACGATTCTTCCAGTTTACTTCTTTTTTCGCAATATACTTCTGGAGAAATCTCTGGACAAATTTCATAATTAGAGCCTTTTGGCCAATTCCTTTTCTTCAACCGAAGCCATTCTGAACCTTGCAATGCAAATCGAACTGGACATAAACTTTTCCTCTGTAGCTCCTCGAGATATGAAATCTGCAGGATTATCCTGCCCACTACAGTGATTCCAATCAGCAGGATCAGCGATCTAGACTGGATTTCGGATACACGGTTCGATACAAAAGTTTTCCATTTTGAAGCTTTCCCTTTAATCCAATGAAGAGCAATTAAGGAATCTGTCCACATATATACCCTAGGCACAGGTAAAATTTGTTTTCAAATATTGGAAAAGTCTAGAAGAAATAACAGCTCCCATAAGTTCAAGCCTCGGTAATGTCAACCTTTTAAGCGGTGCGATTCTAGATTTCGCAGTGATAAAACTTGTATAAATACAATCATCACTTGACACGTAACGGAAGTACGCAACTGCTCCGAAAGCTTTAGGAGAAGCGTCAGAAAATATGTGTAGTTCTAATTCTTTCACAACTTCCATGGTATGGAGAAATATTTTCTTTCGATTGTCAAATCTTTCAACAGATAAATCTGAGAGCACCAATTATCCCATTTTTTCTTCAAGTCAGTTGATAGCTCATCATCCCATCCTAAACCAAGTTCCCATATTTCTTGCATTAATAATTTTATGAGAACAATAAAAGGTATGCAATTCCCATAGGATCAAATAACTTCAAAGCTGTCTGAAGTACACTACGTTTTGAATTCTTCCTATCACAGGTCATGTCCAGTAGAGGTTTTACATCTAACTTAAAAGTGGTAAAATAACACCAATTCCAAAAAAAAAGTGTAAAATTACTATTATGTATTATATTTTTTTCATTTAACCATCAGCCTGATTGTCACACAACTTGTATACAGAAACTAAATCTGGTGGCATGGAGTCTATAAGTGTATGGGGTGGTACAGTGACTTTAGAAAATGAAAAATCAAACTTCAAAACTGGAAATTTACAGGGTAAAACTTAAATTTCACGTTATATTGTCTGAAATTTCTACTGATCAGGTAGTGGATTGTAGTACAATTTTCCACTGAGTTACTAAGCTTTCATGAAAGACATGCCAGATGTATATGAAAGTCTACAATTAGGAAGACCAAAAATATCAACAAATTAAAAAAGTGTACTACTGGCATTAGAGTCTGGGCAACCTTTGCAGCTGGCAGCGGGACAAAGGATATAAAACTTTTGTGACAAAAAGCCAAGTGCCAGCTCTGATTTAGTGCGATATTTGTGTCAAGCTAAAAGAAGTTCGTCAAGTGACACAACAGAAAATATCACAAGCTAATATGATTTCACCACCATCAGTATGTTGTATTTTGACAGAAACTTTGCACAAGAGAAAAGTTTGTGCGCATTTGAATTCTTATCATTTGATGCAACATTATTATTAAAACAAAGAATTAATGATATTGTAGAATTTTATGTTAATGAACCAGTTATTTTGATTTGAACTTTAACTTCTTTCTGTAGACCTCACTGGAATGCAAATTAGTGGTTGAGTATTTAAGCCAAGGGTTTGAATGTTTTAGAGCTTCTGTCAGCCTCCCCTTCCAGTTATGTACTATTGCCAGCTCTGCTAAATTTTCATTCCGGCTTTAGCCATCATGCTAGCCAAAGTTTAAATATGTGCCATTAATTACATGAGCCAGCTTAAGCAATCTGTATTGTGTGTAGACTCGTACTACTTTACCTAAATTGAATTTAACTTCTTATTTTATTTTAAATAACTGCAAGTAGTGGAGGTTCATTTGTAGCACAAGCTCAGATCCTGCAGAACTTTCTTCTCAACTACTTTATACAGTTCATGAAAAATTCCAAAAGTAATATATTCTAATTTACAAGATTTTGTGTATAGCAAATAGCATCAGTATAAAGTAAGGTTTTGGAAGTGATATATTTTCAGCAGCATTGGCATGTTTATTCCATGGTGGACAAGTGTAACCATAAAAAATTGACTTTTTTTTTTTTACTTATTTCATATTAATATTGTAATATTTATATTTTATTTGTATGTAGCATGACTGTATGTTTAATCAATTTAAGCAGTTTCAGTATATTGTTGCATGCATATGGGTTCATAATAGATTGAATGCACACAGGTCCAATGATACATTGATAAAATTTATTTTATCAAAAAAAAAAACACTTCGGAGTTCTGGAACTTTACACAGAAATACTCATGCAGGTGTTCACAATATCACAGAGTACAATCACAAATTACAAAGAACATTAAACGTAATGCAGCTCTTTAGATGCAGATTGCATCTAAAGAGCTAAACTAACCCAGAGATATCTCAGTACTCTGGACCCATGACAGCTAACAACAACAATTGAAAGCAGATGCTTTCTCCGACCTTGTATAATTTTCACATGGCCACTGAGAAATGTCTAGTATTCCCGAAATTACTGGAAGGTATATGAGGCCGGGTATGGTTACAGTTGCATCTGAAGTCAATTACAGTTATTTAATTACAATACCAATTATGGTGATACAGGGACTGACCAAATGGTCACCAAGTCTGACAACTTTTGGCGATTTCTCACTAAATTTGATGACTTAAATTTGTCCCCAAAACTGTTGCCAGCTTGGCGATATCTTGCCAAATTAGTGAGATAACCATTTACTCCATGTTTAATAATTTTGCCTCTGTTTATTATTTTTGTGGCAGAGTATCCTCTTCTCTCTAGATTTTCATGTTACAGTATACAGAAGAATACAACAGTTTCACATAAAACTTCATAACAATATGGAGTTTTTTAGAAATATTATTTAACTATTTGCAACTTGTTGCAAAAATAGTAAAATGTATTTTCAAATGAGTTAATTTCCCCCCCCCCCCAGAGTTATTCTTAATAACACTGCATTAAATGACTGAATGCTGATATTATTCATTTGTAGGTGTTGCAAGCAGAGGATTGAATGGAAAATCTCTGTATGCCATGGCATCTTCTACGGCAGCTCGTAGCAGGATGCGTATTATTCGAAGCTGCTCGTTTCCTTCCTCGCTTCAATTTCTTTGCTGTTCAAGACTCAGGGAGATGATTCCAGAAGAGAAGAGTGTATTGGATGCAATAAAAGTCCCACCAGGCTTACGACTATTCCTGCAGAACAATCTGAGTTGGCTTCTGGACAAGAGAAATTTAGACGACCAACCTCTGAATTGTGATTCATCACAATTCAGAGATACTAGGTATACAAGCCAGCCCAGTCCAGAATACGAATTTAATCAAAATATGTATGAGGAAATCAGATTTGGAGATTCAGCTGAAAGTAACTGGGAAATATTTTTTCCTGCCCTGGACCCTTTTGTTATGGGAATTGGCCAGAGCCAGCATACCATAATGGGGTGTGGACCATATTTTTTACATAATTATAACAGATTTCAGCGAGTAGAAAGACCATTAGAGCAACACGAAGAAAATGTAGAAGTCAGTAGGAATCCTTCTGTTGACAGAAGTGGATCCTCTCATAATAGCTTCGAAGTTTCTAATGAAGAAAATATAGAAGATGAAGACACCAGTGAAAGCAGCTCTAAGCGTCGACGCCATTCTTATAATTATGTAATGGGGTTATCTGATCCAGATAGTGACTGATATTTTTTCCCTTTTTTTATTTCATTAATTTTATAGACTCTGATAATAGTAACTGATAATTTTTACCATATGGTGTTTCTGCCACTCATTAACTTTTCCTCTTTAACATAAAATTACAAAATGAAATCGGTCAAAGAACATAAAATTTAGAAGAAAGAATCATAATTAATGCAGCTTAAAAAGCAAAATATTCAGAAAGTTTAAATTTGCCACTGAATAAAAACTTTCCTTTTTAATCTTGAAATATTTTTTAACTAATTTACCCTTGAAGGCTTTCTTTAAAAAAGAGCATATTACTTTCTTTTTCAGATTTCAATAAGGGACTAAGACACAACTGACACGGCAGTAAAATATGTTTTGGTCATTTACAGACACTGAATTTGTGGAAAGAATGTTCTCAGTTTACATATATACTTAAAAAAAATTACTGCAATAAACAGGATGATGGTTTAACACTTTATCTCTTCGTATTTAATCTTGACTTCAAAATAGTGTTCATCAAAGCTGGTTCAATGATAACATTAATAAATAAGACTCGAACTACAATTCAAGTTTACCTTACTAAAGATATTTTTAATGATTTTTAGATATGCAGTAGAATTAAAATTTTATGAATGTGTGACCCCATAAGAATGCAAACAACGTAAAAAAACAATTTTGCAAACCCAATCAGAATGGCGACTCTTAGATTTATACCATCAGTTTAGATTTTTAAGGATTTTAATCCGCCTTGTGACTGCACTATAAATTTTTGTAACCATAGTTTGAATGCCACTGTGATATAGTATTATTTGTTTTGTGCTCAAATGGAAGAGCTATTAGTATTTCTATTAGTATTGTGTTTTAGTCTCTTTAATATGAATGAAATTATATTTTAATTTATAAACAAAGTTATATCTTTTAGTATTTTCCTGTGACACAACACCTTTTTCGAGATTGCTTAGTATTTTTAGTACAGGTGTAGATTACCTCATTAATAGTCAATAAGTTCATCAATTCACTCATTTTCTCATACCTTTCACAAAAGCTAACATAGAAAATAATTACAGTACATTAATAGTGTTATGTTTTGATTTCAAAACATATGTTATAGTGTTTATTTTGAAACAAATTATATAATTATCAGCCTCTATTTGATTTATTCATTATAGTCTAAATTTGTAGTGCTGAAATGGTATATCAATATCTAATATAAAAATACTGAAGAAGGAGAGAGGAAGTCATAGGTTCTGAAGGAGGAGTTAGGGATATTGCATGATTGTGAAATCTTATTTAAGGAGCGTGTAAAAGGATAAAGTTGGGAACTGCGAATCTGGAGAATGATGACATAATTCCATCTTATAAATATTTTCTGATCTGTGATGTTCTAAATAATTTGTATTTTTAGTTTGAAGTATTGTTAATAAAATGTCTTAATTTTTTAAGGATCTACTTGAATGCTTCTAAAGCACAGTATGCAAGAACGCTTTAGCTAAGGTTGAATTTTTAAAATTGAATTGCGAAATTACGATGTGTTATTTGATGTAAATTTAAATTTACATCAGATATGTATTTTCTATAGGTATATGTCATTGCATATATTAATTAGTATTTATTAAAAGTATATGGTCTTTAATTTAAATATTTTGAAATTGTATCTAATATTTTGAAGCTATGTTATTAGCTTGTTTAGGGATAAGAATGAAATATAGATTCAGTATATGAAGAGGTAATGTAATGTAATTACATGGGTATACTGTAACCGTCTGGCCAGTAATAATCGACCTCGTGGTCACTGCAGCACATCTAACACAGATTAAAACAAAAATACAGTTAAGAACATCAAAATTCGCAAAATTGTTTTATTGCCATTTATGAAGTTCATCAAATCCTTTGCAAATCTATACTCTTTCCCACGGCAATAGAATTCTTTTATATTACTATGTTTTTTGCTAACATGTCACAATAATATGCAGTCTTTGATGAAATGCCGTGCATTGCCTACAGCACTACAAAAATTACAAAGACTATTATTTTGAAAATTAAATCTTTTCAGGTATGCTGGGAAGTGGCCATTCCAGTAATTATTCAATTGTAATCAAAATCACATTTCATTCTCATATTTTTAGAAACTTCAAAGTTCAACAAATAATCCTTCCTTTAACTCGAAATGTTCCATTTCTCTTTCCAGCAATCATAATAAGAATCCTTGATTTTATCAATACCATCTCTTTTTAATGCCTGAATAATGAATGCATCCTCGGCATTACTCATAACAACCTCTTTGACCAGTATGTCGGCTCTCTCAATGCCTATAACACCAATATGGGCTTTTACCCAGTTCATTTTTACTTCATGTATTTTCTCAAGTTTTACAAGGAGATCTTCCCAAAATATTAGTGTTATTGGCATCTGCTAGTGCTTCCAAACTGGATAATGAGTCTGCATGTATGCAGACAGAGATGTTTTTACAGTCAGGTTTTCATCAACCCATTTAAGTGCAAACATGATAGTAGCCAGTTCGGCTTGAAAAACCGAATTGTAAGGTTCATGTCTAATTTTGTCATAGTCTGTTTCTGTCTGTTCCAAACAAAAAAATCATATATGCTGCACCAATTCCATTGTCATAACCGAAAATGGCAGTAAATATATCCAATTTTCCTATGCAAACATTTGGTCTCTGATATTCATCTGCTTTTCTTAATGCAGGATGTATATGGTTAATATTAAAGACAGAAAAACATATATGCAGTAAACCCTCCATAAGTAATAAAATCAACATTTTGTGAGCATAATTTAAACTTATCATAATAAAAGGAATAAATTATCGAGAGGGGCAGCATACCGGCCAATATGCAAACGACTTCTGTTGAGACTGTTTTAAAGCATCTGGTCAGAAGCAGCAGCTAGAGTCGTCGTATTGTATCTAATTTATTTCTGATTTGTTGCAGGTCCGCAACCCTGGAATCCCAAGCCCCAACACCATGTAATATAATGGGAATAATAACTGTTTTGTAAATTAATCTAATCTTAATGCTAGACTCAGAAATTTCTTTTATAATTCAATGGAATAGAGTTAGTTCTTTTATAAATATTATTAAAATGTTCTTCAAAATTCAAATATTTAAGGCTTTCAACACATTTAATTCTAACACTTTCATATTTTAGTTGTGGTGCTCTAGTTTATTTCCACCCTTAAAGTAAAACAGAACATTAGTTTTTTTTTTTTTTTTTTTTTTTTTTTTTTTTTAAATTTAATCAGCTCTTCTTTTTTAATCCACAGTCTTAGATCTTCTACAGCAAATGAAAACAGATTAATTTCTCCAAAGAGTTTTCATGAATCACATAAAATATCATCAGCATAACATAACATTCTTATACCATTTAGACCCTCTTTCTTTAACAGTCCATACATTATGGTGTTCCAAAGCAGTGGAGCACCGCAGGAACCCTGTGGGCATCCTTTGTAAACGATTCTTACAATACAAATATCGTTATTAAATCTGTAAATTTCGGTATCCTGAAATCTCTAAGGGTTGAAAGCAGAGATATCCATCTAACAGAGTCAAATGCTCCCGAGACATTGAAGGAGACCACAGCCATGTGGAATTCAGATTTTTGCAAGCTAATAAGATTGACAGCATCATAAAAAGCATTTTCCATGCAACAGCCTGGTGTAAATCCCTATTGTTTTGTATATACAAAATCATTCTTTAATAAAAAAAGTAGTACAGTCTATTTGTAAATAACTTATCCAAAACTTTTGCACAAAATATTAACAAACATATAGGTCTGATCACTCTACTAAACTTTGAAATTAACAAAACTGTAGAAACTTTCCACACTGTAGAAAAATGGCATAAATCAGGGTATTTATTATATAGCAAGACAAAAAAATAAGACTATTTCCAAAATAAAAATTTTATCATAGTGGCTGTGATCCTATCATGTCCTGGGGCACTATGATTACTCAACTTCTTAACTACATTGCTGATTTCCAAAAAACTAGACGATAGATCAGCTGAAGCACATCCATCATCCTGCAACAAATCCACACACAGAAAACTATCTTCAACAGAGTCATAGTCAAAGTTCCTATTAAAATGATCCTTTATAACCTCAAAATTATTCATATCAGTATTACCTTTTTCTCTCATAATCATTTCCGAGACGCATGTTTTACCACTAGCCAAATGAAGAAATCCTCCATGATATTTTGCACTCTCAACAAAGAATTCCATTTTACACTATATGAAGAGTTACCAAACAAAAGATTGTATTGAATTTTTGTTAACAGAGGGAAAGTTGAAAACTGTTTACCCATTGTTTTTTAGCACCATAAATGTATTCCGACACATGGATGTTGAATTTATGAGCTATGTGCATTTTTCTGCAATATGGTTTCATATTGTACTTGCTAAACAGTAAGGTAACCAACTAATCAAATGCGTACCAGTAACAAGAAGATTGTACAAATATATCACTGAGTTATTGGTTTCTCTTATATTTTAGAAATCAGCATATAGCTTCTAATGTTACTGCTTTCCCCTTCTGCATTTTCATTTTTGTTGTTTGAATAGCTTTTGAAAAACAGGATAAAATATGTGTTGAATTATTGCATTTATGTGCAATTTAATATATTTTGTGAGAAGGAACTCCTGAAATTGTGCGCTAACTTCTCGCATTTTCCCAATGAAAATTGAGAGATATACGTTTTCCTTTATAAACATTTGTTCCTGTCATCATTTGCAGTGTTTGTTTCATGTCAGTCAAAGTGTTATATTTTATGTCAATGTGCCATAGTAAAAGGAGTGATTTCCACTTGATCTGCCCAGAACTTAAAAATATATATTGCAAGATTTTTGATAATCAATGTATATTCATGTATATTTATTGTTATCTGAATAAATGATGGTGTATATTTGATAATTTGTGTATTTTTGTGCGAGCACTGTAACTTGAGTCAGAAAACATATCTACATCATTTCATTCTGCTGCTGTGAAATATGCTGGATTTTTTTGTAAACAGCAATAACTGAGGTTTCTTCAGTAAACTAAAAAGACAATACTCAAGTGTCTGACAGAGGTAAGCATTAATTCTTTGACACAAACACACAAAAAAAAGTTTACATTTGCATATGTCAAGGTCCTTTAAAAAGTTGTAAATTTTAAAACAAACATCTGTAACCGTCATAGGACAGTTGCACAGTCCACAAACCTAACAGAGGCCAAGTGGATAAGACGATTGAGGATTGTCAAATAAGGTGTCTTGCGTTTTTTTCCATGTGTAATGTAAATACGAACCACTGTCCTTTAAAAAGACCTCCTTGAAGGCATCCCTAATTTAAGCAAATAGCCCTTGCATGTTTGCCTTGATTTATTGTATAACAACTCGTGGATAACAGCGTTTTTCTGTTTGTTAAATATAACACTTTAAAACAATTTTGGATATAGTTTGGAAGGCCGATTATTGGTGATTCAGCGTTTGTTGCACGATCATAATATAAATACCTATGTCTTTCTTAATCCATTCACTACAAGATTGCGTAATCAAGTTGATCACTAATTAATTAATTTTCTTGATTTTGTATCATCAAATTCTGATGCGTGTGTAATGTGTCAACCGTGATCCACTTTATATTGTTTATATTTGCGAGATCCATTGAGTGATTAACTCTTTCATGTCTGTAGTCTGTTACTTTAAAATAGGAAATTCAGGCTTATTTTCCGTCACAAGGCTTGCTTAGTCATCTTGGAAATGACAGTTTCAGCAGATGGTTTAAGCCCTCTACTTTCAGGGCAAACGCACCAATGAAGGCTGATTTGAATCACATATTTTCCTAATTGAGATGAAGAAAATAAGTGCTGTGCGGTGAAGACAACACGTGTTAAATCGCAGATGGAGAGAACTGGCAACAACCTTGAAGTACCTGAAAGAAACATAACTATAGACCTAGTTATTTAGCATTCAGTAAATACGTTTGCATTGGATAGTGATAGTTGCGGTAAAATATCCGAGTTGGACATCAGACACTTCATGATTGTAGAAGAATAAGTTGGTAACAGAGTAAAGTGCATCTTTTTGTGCAGTATCGTAGTTAAAAATAATTATTGAGCAATACAGAAAATGAGTAAACCTGTGTTGTTGAATTTTTACACCCAGAACTTTAATTTCACCTGTGTTTTTCAAATAAGTAACACATTAAGCAACATGTCGGTCCATTCACTGACAGTCAGACGGCGTCATTCACTGTTGACGAACGATATACAGTTTTTAAAATAATATTCTTTTATCATACTCTCTATATATCTCTGGCTGCCCGGTGAAATCGGATTTTGCAGGCTAAGCGAAAAAGAAAATAAAAGAGTTGACACTTAATAAGTAGCTTAGATTTTGTCCTTTTCAAGATGGAATATAAAAATCTGAAAAAAGGTAATAGGTGAACAAGACGTTATTGAGAAAACTGCGATGGGAATAAATCATGTATAAACTCAGACAGAAGAAAAAGACAATTAAATATATCGAGAACTGATAGTACCTGTCAAATGCATTAGTGATTTACAAAAAAAAATTAGTTCCATCTTCGTGGTTGAGGAAATATAGGAAACTGATAATGAAAGTAAGGGAAATTTGCACCTCATTGAAGAGTGATTGCTATTCCAAAAACGAAATGCATGAAAATTAACACAGTTTAGTTTAGCTTTGACTGATAAATGAGGTTACTTTTTTGCTTAATTTTACTTTGAAAATTATAAAATATGGACCAAATAAATCGGTATGATGGCGCTAAAAGTGATAAAAAAAATAGCATCAGAAATTGCTTCAAAAAATATATTCCCATAAATTGTGCTAGTAAAATTGATCTCGGCACTATAATATTACCCAAGAGTGTAATTTGCAATCAGTTCCGGCAGAGGTTGGGCCACATGCCCGAGTGCTTTGGTGATTATACTATTCAACTCCTGTTTACTGAGCTAATGGCATGGTAAATTTGAAAAAAAAATGGAAATTTCGCCAAGAATTTGAATTTTGATGCTCAGAATTGTTGAATGAAACTTCTATTATTAATGTAGATCTCATCTTCTATCATGGAATTCTCTTCCATACAGCTGTACTATATACTAATTGTACTTAGAATAACTTTGGGTGGTTGTCCAGGGTAAAATTCTTTATACCATGTAAGGTTATATGGTATTTTTCTGTTTTCGGGACTGGATTTAGAGATGTATGTATGTATACAGGAGTCCCATAAGTCTGTAAATATTTTGAAAATTCATAAAAATTGAAGGAATAGGTAGAATTAAACGCAGTTTGCAAAAAAGTTATTCTTGTGAAAAGAATAGTAAAACATTTCGTCGATAGAGGGCGCTGCATGAAAGCAAATAACACATTTCAAAGAAATCTACATTTATTTGTATGCAGACAAATGTTTACAAGTGTATCAATTTTATTCTATGTGTCCGCCATCGCCTTACAATATGCGAGCGAGTTACAACACTGTTTAACTGCAGCGTTTAGCATATCCGAATGGATGCAAGTATTTCGTAACGAATGGCGTCCTTTAACTTCATCAAAGAAGATGGGCTATTACGGTACACAATGAAGTTGACATAACCCCAAAGCGAAGAATCAAGTGTTATTTAGAACGGTGAGCGAGAAAGCCACTTATTTCTATAGTGACGGCTAATTAATCGCTTTTCGGTGAAAGTTCTTAGAAATACACTTCTGTTGTGATATGACGAGGTGCCCCGTCTTGCGTGAAGGACATTATGTTCCAGTAAGTGCTGTGTCACTTTCTACTGCAGCAGTTGCAAGTAACAATTTCCAAGCCAGTTTTGGCACAGCGCTCTTCAAGGAAAAAACGACCCACACCAAACAGTTAAACGTGGTGAAGGGGCTCCTCAGTATAGGCACGTGGGTTCTACTTTGCCCAAATTCTACAGGTATGGGTGTGGATTGTTCCATGGAATGAAAAATAAGCCTCATCTGTCCGCAAGCTATTCGGAAGCCGTTAGGGATAGTCAGCGATTTTCGACAAATATCAATTTGCGAATTCGTATCGCTTTTCTTTGTCATTTTGGCAGGAACTGGTGGACTTGCAGAGGTAAACTTTTAAAACACTATGAAGGATGCGGAAGAGCGATGTCTTCGGTATACAAATGTTCCTTGGCACATCTCGTGCGCTACTTACTGCACTCGTTGATTGTTCCTTTAGAGTGCCAATCTGCGAAGCCACATCGGAAGTACGGACCTCTGATAAACTTGGTGCACCACTACGAAGGCGATGATACAAACTTACCGTTTTTTCTAAACATCGTACCAGAGAAGTCTGTCTGTCAAGAGGGATTGGACCTGAAACTTTCTTCCATCCTTTATGTGTCCGAAACGTTGTATCAAAAGCTTCAGTCGGCCATTCTTGGCTGAGGTAAAACAACTTCACTAAATAACGCTTTATCCACTAATGTCAGCATCACAATTAAAACTTAATGTACGAGCAAATAGGGAAAAGGTCAAAAATTGATCGTAAAACCTGCAATTTAGGACTCTACATATTTCTTGTTGCTGTGTCTGTGCGACGCCCTCTATCGGCGAAAATTTTAACTATTTTTTCCTTTATGGGAATAACATTTTGGTAAATCGCGTACAATTCTACCAATTCCTTCCATTTTTACGAATTTTTAAAATATTTACAGACTTATGGGGACACCCTGTATACGTGTGTATACACATACATACATTTCTGAATCCGGTCCCGATAACAGAAGTGTACCGGTTATATTCGGTCTGGCAAAGACTCACGAAGGTTTCAAAAACCTTTTATTAAAATGAACTTCTAACATAAAGGGCACGGCTTGTGCTTTACAAATAGCAGCTACTTGTAGCGATGTAAATTAAATAATAACAAACGGATAAACGTTGATTAGTAGTCTTATAACTACACAATTAAATAACTGTACTACACTTTAAAATTTTAATGTCAAAACTGCTTAATATTTAAATGCAGGGATTTAACCAACCGGCAAAATTTCTTATTTTGGGTGGGGCCTAATTTAGCCAAATGAATAATAAAATTTTTGCGTGCGTACGGGTTCGTTATGAAATGAATGCACAAGTCCGATGAAAAATGAACAAAAATTTATTATTATCACAACAAAAATGCTTAAATTTTCTCAAATTATCATGCAGTATTACAATATCTCACAGTAGTTATCTTTTAACTACTCAAATGTCCAATAGAACGTAATTCAAAACAGCTAAAGAACGCTAATCCGCGAATTCGCTACAATCAACAACAGTAGTTTTCTAAACAACAACAAACTAAGCAACTACTACAAACTGAGATGTTTTCCTCCTTTTATAAGATTTTAAAAATCACGCGCTAGAATTTTCCAGTACTTTCTCGAAATCAAAAAGAGATATTTATTTATTTAATGCACGCGCTCTTGTATTTTCAATTTTCCGGCTTAGCTTTCTTTTAATATTCGTCACGCGCTGCACTGCGCGAGAAATAAAACCATTTAATTTATAATTGAACTAACATTAGCTTTTTAAATACCAAATTCGTAACACTGCCCCCTTCCCAAGGACTGCACGTCCCGGGCAGTACAATCCCTGGACAGGAAGCTAAACTTACAACTGTGGCATAAATGCATTAACATTACAATATCAAACAACATGAAACAATAAATGCAATAACTAACTTAAACAAATCAAATGCTATCAAATACTAAATACAAAACAAATACAAATAAATACAAATCAAATCAAATACACATTTAAAAACAAAAAGGACCATGGTCTTATACTATTTACAATTATTTACATTACGTACTATGGCCATAGTAATGAGCTAACCTGTCGTAATGAACGACTTTAGGTTTAGAGTCACGGACTTACGAACCATGACGTCATTCAGCCTGTTTAGGAC